CTCTCATGAAATAAGGAAACGTATTCGTGCTAGGAACACACGCGAATTTCGGACGAATGAATCTTGCTTGTATTTTGTAGATATAATAATACTTTGTTTCATAATAAACAATTTGTCAAGTGTCATTTATTTGCTGGTAATAGTGCATGTTTCAGTCGGGCAAATCTTGATTAATATTTGATACGCCGATTTTTGCATATTTCAGACACATCCAGAAATATCCTCCCGAATTTAAAGATTAATATCTCCGTGAATTTTTAAGTGAAATACAACTGTAATATATCAAAGTCAAAGTTAGTCCTTCCTCTATTTGATGCAAGTTATTTCTCTTTAAAAGCTATACTTGTTTAGATGTTATTACGAATCAAACAGGAGTACTTTTTTTTGGGCCACCCGGTATGTATTATTCTTCAGCGTAAAACATTACGCACAAAACGAATCCCGCCTACTTTACATAACATGCAGACATGCAGTCATCTTTTTTAAATCCGTGGACCCCGCCGTGAGATGGCCTTGAAGGCCTTTAGTATTGGAAAATCTTTCAGGAGATTTGGTTATTGTTTTTATTTAATTTTTTCTATAATGATATCAGGCTGACCTTTATATTAAGCATTGTTTAATAAACAAACTGGAAATTTGTAAGGTTTAGTACAGATATGAATTACGCATTGCGATAATTAATTTTATAAAAACGTCTGACTTGTGTTGTATTATAAAGGATATTGACCATAGTGAGTGCCACATGTAGTAGTCATCATCAACACTTATGGTAACTGTTTTTTGCAGAACTGACGACAAGTATTTCTTCCAAATTGAGTCATCTTTACGGGCCTTCTTATTGAAAATCAGTGTTTGTGATGCTATGCTAAAACCAAATCCATCTGGTAAAGTGCAAAGTTATATACATATATGAAAAATAAGTAAAAGTATTGGTTGTTTGTGTGGTGTGTATACGAATTTTGAAGTCATAAAGGACGAAGAGCAAAGCCGTGCGTTAATAGATCTTTCAGAAGGAGCGGTCTATAAAACTCGTGCGACAAAATATACCCACAGAAGCAAGTCAGAACTATTATTCCATACCTGCATGTGTTAAAAGTCGATTACATTCTTCGACAAAAGTACTTACGCTGCGGTCCGCGTTGTGACTTCAGAACAGTACTAACAATGAGCAGGAAAAATTACAAACTCTAACTTTAAAGTATGTTTTTCGACAAATAACCGACCATGCCCGCACCTCTCCTGAGATCGTTTTGCACCTCCCCGAAAATTCATGCACCTTCCCTTAGAAAAGATCAAATGGTATAACAAAGTCAAAAGACTCAACCTTAAAGGATAATGATAAATGGGAACAAAAAATGTTGTTACAGATTTTTCATATCAAGCTTAACTCTTGAAAAATTTTGACCGACGAAAGCGAGGAGCTGTCCGCCATCTTGGATTAATTATTAACCTTGTTAACTATCATTTTGATGCCGTCAGGAGTGCGGTTAGCCTTATAAAATTACTTCTAAGTTACTGAGTAACAATGAAAAGTTGTTTAGTTTTATTCAATTCGAAATTTGAAATAGCAACGAAAAACGAATTTCGGGTTGATATTGATCACTGGCTGTCAAGATAAAAAACTTACCTGACCTCACTTGTGATATGCATATCCTCAAATCTGTAACCAGATTTTATAGATGTTTTTAAACGCTTTTTCAAATGAGACAATAAAATGTTTTGTTGCCATTGTCCTTTAACATGAGTTAATTTTAATGTTTGTTGTGTTGCTTATAGGGTCCACACTATTTAACAACGCTTTTCTGTAAAATTGTGAAAGTCATCACCTCTGTGGCAATTACTCTTTTAATGCAGTGTTTTGAAACGAGTCGTACAGTCATAATCCATAAATACATTGATAGGTACGACTTATTGTACAGTACATGCATACATCACGTAGTTAATTAACTTGATGGTTATACTCTAAGCCTTAACATCCCAGGGAGTGGCACCTCCCCTAAAACATTTCTTACCTCCCAATTTCCCATCTCCCCCACCCTTCCCACCAAAATCCGGCCTTGACTGAGACTAACGACAAGCAAAAAGTAATGGAAAAAAACAGTAAGTTTTGTGGACCTGATTTCACGAGGCGAAATGCAGTCGACCCATGCATGCAGTATACAAGAGGAACGAAACCGAGACGAGAGAGCTCCATAATACGTGCATAACTAAACATTTTAGTATAAAAGTATTATCCATCGCTTAGAGCTAAGCTGTTGCCAGGAGTCCTATTTCATGACTTTCATATGATGCGCTCTTGCCCACTGAGATCAATCAATCAATCAATCAATCAATCTGTTTAATTAAAACCAATTTGCAGTTTTTAAAGGAAAACTGAATTACATGGAGTACTAATATAGCATAAAAATTTATATTAAAATGTACATATATATATATTATATAAAATAATGTTTATTTAGTTAGGACTGTTAATTAACTATAAAGCTAATAATATTTCCTAGTCACGAAGTTTTTTAACCGTTCAGTGGTTTCTGACCATAAAGGTTGTTCGGCCGTTCTGTCATTCCTTAAGTCATAATCATGAGTTTTTACCCCGGGACGAATTTCCATAATTTGGGTCAAAGGGTTGTAGGGTGAAACATCACGTCGCAGAGATTCGACGAATTTCTTGCAAGAGATGTCTCTACGAGTACTCAGATACTGTAAGTTTGAAATTTCAAGGGCTTCATCATGCAAGAATATATAGATCTGCACTTGGTACATAATAATTACAATTGCATGGGGCACAGATGAAGAAATGTAGAGCCCAATGATTTTGGTTCAAGAAAATTTGGACAATACATCGGCGAATTTCATGATTAAAATAATTTTAATATCTAAGCTGTAGTTAAATTGTTACAAATTTTAATAAAGGTTATTTGCATGCAATGAAATGCTCAAGCGTTTCTGTTCAAACCTCATGTAACCACTATATACATACATGCATATATTTGTTGAACAATTCTGATCTTACCATTTTACCTCTAATTTGTATTTTTAAGATTTATTATACGGTGGGAACATGAAATAAACGTAGTGAATAAAAATTATGCAGAACTTTATTTGCGGTGACACCAAAACCCATTGAAATTTTCAAGGTTTATCACAAAAACAAAGTATTGCTTCTCGCCTTACACCTACGAAACATAGCTTAGATTCTATTCGGTAATTTTTCTGAAACGCTTCCATCAATTGTTATACCACAATTCTTCAATTTCTTTCGCTCTTTCCGAAGATTATATATTTCTTCGAAATGATTGAGCAAGACTGGTGCTGGTAGAATGAACACGATCAAAATTCCAAGAATTGTTGTGATTGCTCCAACAAGCTTTCCAAGCACAGTGGTGGGTACTACATCGCCATATCCGACGTTGGTTAGTGTAATGATAACAAACCATGCTGCGTCAGGGGTATCTTCAATCAGTGATGTTGAGGAATACTTTTCGGCGAAGTAGATCAAAGATGACAATGATATCGTTAAAATTGTGACCAATAACATGAGTCCCACAAGTAAATACAAACACTGTCGAATAGTGTAACCCAGTAAACGAAGTGCTTCAATGTGATGCGCAAGCTTCAGCACTCTTACTACTCTTGCGAAACGAAGCAATCTAAGGAGCACGATGATATTACCAATGTCACCGTCGTCTAGTTTTAGAAGTAAAATCCCAAAGAATGGAACGATCGAAAGGAAGTCAATGATCCCCAAGAAAGAAAACACAAACTTGAGCCTGTGTTGTGTGGTCAACAGCCCCGCCACATACTCCAGTAGAAACCAAGCAGTTATTAGGCAATCTACAATAAACCATTCTAAATTTTGTTCACAGTTGGCAGCGCGATCCGCGGGCACTGTACCATTGTTCTTGCACAGTATTTTATACCCCATTTCAGTGGTTTCGAAACAAAATAAAAATGTTGTGATGACTATAAACAGAGACGATATCCACGAAAACAACATGGCAGTATTCGAGCTCTTTGGGTCTTTAAAGAGCTTCCATAAAGTCTGTTTCCATGCGATCTTCGGCATTTCCACTGGTACGGCTTTTAAAGTCCAGCATGCTGGAAAATAATCTGCCAATTCGAAGAACTGGAGTTCATTTGTGAAAATAGTGAACGGTACGTCTTTTGGTTGGGCTAGTATACCCCCAGATTGATAGAAGAATAAGACTGCATTAAACGCAAACTTGTTTCTGTTCTCGAAGACATAAGCATCCTTCTCTGACACGTAATGTTCGCGTCGTTTGCGACGCGAGCCCAGCAATGTGTCTGGGAATTTCATTAAGGTTTCTTCGAATGTTTCAAACAGCTCGCCTTGGATGAGAATTTTCACTCGACGACCGCTCACGAATGTTTCTGAAGTACATAACGGAAGACGCGGATCGACTCCTTCAACAAGTTGAATGCTACCTCTGCTCGTGAGTTGTAAATGATTCATTCCCATAAAACTTCCTCTCCGAGGTGCATCGTCTTGGTTCGCTGAAGGAAATGCCAAGAAACGTGCGGCGCCGCCACCAAACATTATGAAGAACGCGGTAGAAATTAAAAAGCGGTTTACAAAAATTCGTTTGTAAATTGAAGTGGATTAAAACGGTGCGGGGCGATATCAAAACGCCTGTTCCTCGTTAAATATCGCCTTCAGACTGCTTATAGGCTTGAAAGAGTAATTGTGGCTCAACACAGGTGGGGGAATATATAGTGCATGCAATAAATATTTCACGGCGTAACCGCACAACTGCGTCAAAAATCTGTGCATATCGTGAGTTTATGCTAATTTGCCAGCTGTGCAAGAAACTTTGGTTTTGTTTAAATAAAATATGGAATCGACGTAAAGAAAGTCTCACGAATATTTTTCTTTGGTTGGTTGACTCGATAGACTTGTTTGTCTGTTTGCTATTTCGGACTAATCGTGCATGATATATATAGTACTATCTCGCAACCAGATCCCTGAAGATCGAGTTAACAGAAAATTGCTATAAGTGACCATTTTTTTGCTACTTCGCTGATTTTACTGAACAACGGAACACAAAGCTCGAAAAAGTTGATATGTGTAAATATTTCAGACCTGTCCACATGTAGAAGTAGTTGATACTATAATATTTGTTTCTATTATTTTTTAGTCAGTTCTTCTCTTCTCTCTATTTATCGAGAGTAAAATTGGGTCCTAAATGTGAATTCAAAATATTTGTTGACGCTATATATTAATTTCTGCTGCAACGTTGCATGAGGCAATTTTAGCCACCCCTAATTGGCCTTGCAACACAATTTCTTACATGTTATCTTGGGAAGTATACTCACAGAAAAATGATGAAGATTGCTTCATTTCACCGAAATCGTTCTCATTCATTTCTCTGTTGCATTCCTGGATATATTATAGGTGTATAAGACAAAAATGATCACAATTACTCCTCGGCGACAAATACAACAGTACTCGGTGTATATATGCAGCTAAATTGCCAGGCTTCCGGCCATTTGTAACTGTCGTGACCAAGTCAGGTTCGACCATAGTATTTTAACTATGGTTCAACGATATGAAATACAGTCGAACCCCTATAAGCGGACACCTCTCTTAAGCGGACACCCCTTTTAAGCGGACACATATCTCAGGTCCCATTCGTTTTCTTTAATAAAATACTATTATCATAACCCCTATTAAGCGGACACCCCTCTTTAACGGACGCGGACACCTTACTTGAGGTCCCAATGGGCAAACTAACCTCTCTTAAGCGGACAGATGACAGATTGTCTGATAAAATGTATTCAATATTCGACAGTAAATAACAATTGAGATCAATTTACATGGCACATTGACAGTGACACACCAACTTGGCGCGAAGACATCAGAGCCAAGATTATTGAGAAGTGACGAACGAGGACGGAGGACTGTGAGCCGGCAGCCATGGAGCCGAAAGATATGTGTCAGATCACTGATGATGACAACGAACTGAACAAAAAAGATGAAATTGACTGGTCTCTTAACGAACGAGTCATTAAATCTTCCTCCGAAGCCCCTAACGTTGTCGAGCGGCTGGCAGAATTCGCACAATTTCGAGGTTTGGAAGAACTTTCCAACGTCATTTTTATGTAAATGACATAATGGGCTATCGTCTGCGTGAGCCTCGAAAGCAAACTTGTATTGATTCCTTTTTTATGTGACTGTGAGAGACGTATACATTTTCTAATGAACTTTTATGCACAAATAATTTTTCATTTTATGCTAATTATTTCCTAGATATTTTTTACTGTTTTGATACTCAAATTACACACCTAATTACACACCTTTGCCTCCTGCTGTGTTTTTCCACATACCCCTTTTAAGCGGACACCCCTTTTAAGCGGACACTTAGGCGAGGTGCCAAAGGTGTCCGCTTAATAGGGGTTCGACTGTACTCTAGATATATCTCGTCTTTTATATGCTGTTTGCCAATTAGTCTTCACTGGCTGTAGAGATACAGTATATTGACACTCTATAACATGGGTGACCTTGATTTATGTTCACGACGGTTACGACTAAATGGAAACCATGCTTACTTCGAATCCAGATCCAGAACATGGAATCCGGAATCCACACTTGCATTAAGATCCGGAATCCAGTAATTTGGTAATGGAATCCAGATAAATCTAGACAAAGAATCCAATCTAGACAAAGAATCCATTGCGGACTTTCGTGAGATATAGGCTACTAGTATCCACGATCCTGGATCTACGAGTCAGGATCCGGAATCCACGAGTCGGGATCCGGAATCCGACTTACGTCCATATTCTAAAAGCTCACTCACACTCAATGAGTGGAGGTTAAATCTGAGCTTCTCTCGAGTCCCATTGCTGTTTTTGAATAGCTAGAGGGCCAGTGTCATACCTTACTATGTTATTACTCACTCTACAGCTATTCAAAAGTAGCATTGACACTCAAGAGAAGCTCATATTGAACCTCCACTCATTGAGTGTGAGTGAGCTTTTAGAATACGGGCGTTAGTCTTGAATTCCTTTACAAGGACGAAATGTTATACTGTCACTAATCTATACTGTTCAGGTGAACTGTAGTTAACTGATGCCACCTACAGCGCCCTAAACAGTGGGGTGGGGGTGGGGGGGAACTGCCTCCTAGAGAAAACTATATTTACGTTTTTAGAATGACATTATTAATTATTCTTTGGGTATTTGGGATTTTTTTCGGCATATAGGCCTTACTGCTCCCCAACCTCGTACCCAGGATCTTTCTCTGTTGACAGCCCTCCCTGTTGAAAAAATCCTGCGTACGGCCCTGGCCACCTACATCAATTTAAATACTTCATTATTCAACATAACTTAGTTACGTTTGGCTCCTGAACAGCTAGACATTAAATTATAACATTAAGTTAGTCTTGAAAGTTTCTGTAGAGTAAATTGTTAATTAAAACGTACAATTGTATGCAGTAGTAATTTACATATTAATCACATTGATCTGGAAACCACGATCAAACTGCGAGCAACAGTGTCAGTGTTGTTGCAATTCATAATGGAAAAGTGGTTTTGAAACATTAAATATGCAAAACGTTCAAATGAAGAGAAAATTACAGCATTTTTTATACGAGAATTCTGCAATAGTCAGGGATAAGCGTGATCTAAAGAATATCATGTATGCGCATTTATATTGACAAGCTATATAAAGTTTTATTTCATACGAATTTTTCAACCACGGGGTGAAGTTCCAGTCCAGCTGCTAAAGCATATGGCAAGAATTTTAAAATATAAATGTTTATCACCATGTATTTAGGTTTTTAAATTCCAGCCCATCAAAATATGTTTCCACACATAAAAATCCCCAAGCCGTGTAACTATAGGATGTCACTAAAATCACAAATAGTGTAATATAATGTATCTTACTAGCATAGAACCATATTATTGTCTAGAATATATTTTTGTTATTATCATACATAAAACTCGTCTGTGATTGGTTGATTTCAGTGCCGTTAATCCCAAACAGCAGTACAATTTTCTGTAATCACAGTGCAATTTTCTGTAAACACAGTGAAATTTTCTGTAATCACAGTGCAATTTGCTGTAATTAGAGTGCAATTTTCTGTAATCACAGTGCAATTATCTGTAGTCACATAAAATATTCTTTTTTTTTACATAGTGGGTTTTTCAAGGTTTTCGTGAGTTTTTCAAAGACCTCAAATAGCACCCGTCCTTCGGAATCGTGCTATTTTGAGGTCTTTGAAAAACTCACTCGTCCATGTTATATCCAAATTGCACTCGAAACAATGCTATTACCTTAATATTATACTTATCAGTTTGGTTGTTTAATATAGAATTCCGTAATCTCCGGTCACAGTAAAAGAAGCTCATTTATATGATGATTGTATAAAGTTTACGTAACCTTATCAAACGACGCAGAATTTATTTTTAAAGTCTTTTAAAAATTAACTCAAATGAAACAATCATAAAAAATTATCCTCATCTTATCGGGCGTTAAAAGCTGCTCAAAATTGTTAAACTGCATGGTAAGCCTGAATCTCAAAGTTTTTTTGATTTGATGCCGGATATAAATCAAAGTTTTATTTCTTAATAAACCGAAGCGTTTGCTGAAAGAATAAATAGTACAAAAATTTGTCATTCAAAACAACAAGTTCAAAAGCGAGTGGTTTTAAAATTACTTGCTTCGTATAGTCAAAATTGCATTGCTTTCCAACTAAGTTTTTTTGGGTTTTTTTGTAGATTGCAGATTCTCGCTACTGGTTTATACGAAACAGTCTGCAGTTTTAAAAATGGAGGATGAGGATAAGACAAAGGTGTGAATATTTTCTTATATCTCAGTATCTGTTAAACATACCTTGACGTACTTGCAGCACTGTTGCATGTACGCGTGTTTAATAGTTAGGAATTCCACATGATTTATACCTGGCAAACTGATCGCCTTGATAAAGTAGGAATGACCCAACCTCAGGTCGCCTCTAAGGTTGAGTCATTCCAGAGGAAATTAGTGCTTTCCAGCGAGGGTGAAATCTACACTTGATAAAGGTAAAATAGTCCTCCTGCAACCCGCGTCTTCAATAAATCTGGAACTATACAGGATGTGTATTTTGCTGGCTGAGTGACTCCTCACCAGATATTTTTTGACATAACAACCAAGGGCGGATTTTCATTTTTTTTAAAGGAGTGGTAGAAAAATTTCTAGTGGGGTGCAAGCGGCACCACTGAGCGAGCTTTGGCAGGGGTTAGGCGTTAAGGTTAAAGACTTTCACACTAAATAGGAGGGGTGAAGCAAAATTTTGGTGGGGTTGAACACTTTATAAGAGGGGTTAGAGAGATTCTAGGAGGGGTTTAACCTCCCCTACCCAGTAAATCCGCCCATGATAACAACACAGTAATAGATAGTTGATTCTGGTTATAATGCTCCGCTCTTTAATAAACTAAATCTTCTTGATATTTACAAGATAAACTCCTTACACACGTGGAGATTTATGTTTTGTTATCATAATAAATTGCTTCCATGCAACCTGTTTTCTCAATCTATTTAATGCAAACAAATAAGTCCATAACTATAACACAAGAAACGTCGACTCATATCGATCTCATGCATGTAGAACTAATATAAAACAATTCACAATGCTTTCTCGTTGTCCGAAACTGTGGAATTCCCTCCCTGATACCGTTAGAAAGGCAGAGACATTAAGTTCCTTCAGGAATAGAATGACGAAATACTTACTTGATTCATAATCTTATTGATACGCTTGAGTTTCTTTTGCTTGATCAGATATACCTTAATTTTTACATATATTTAATTCAAATCTTCAAGGAGACATCCTATTCATAAGCGCTATAGTTTCTGTGACTCCTTGCCACTGACATTATGAATCAATTATTATTATTAAATGTAATTTAACATTGAAATTTTATGATAAAAAATAACAGAAGTAAACAAAAGACTTGCAGTATATAATGATGGGAACTATACTATCTGTGTATATAAATTACCGACGCCGATATCCATTTTATATCACAGACATGATATTGGGATGTGGTATATTATTTAATTAATATAGATGTATTAAAAAATAGGTTCATTAAGTGCTACTGCTGAGGGAGTCAATTAGAATGCTGAAAGGCCATTTTTCAATACTGAAATTATACTAAAGTCATATAGTCATATGGTCATAGTCATATGGTCATAGTCATATAGTCATAGTCATATAATCATAGTCATAATCATACAGTCATAATGATACAGTCATATATTCAAAGTCATATAGTCATATAGTGATGTAGTCATAGTCATATAGTTATCATTATAGTTATATAGTTATATAGTTATATAGTTATATAGTCAAATAGTCATATAGTCATATAGTCATATAGTCATGTAGTCATAGTCATGTAGTCATAGTCATATAGTCATACCCCAAACACCTCAATGAGGTACCCCAAACACCCCATTGGGATATATAGTCATAGTCATAATAGTCATGTAGTCATATAGTTACATACTGTAGTATACATGTTATAGTTCATCTGCAATTTATCCCAACACAGAACGAGTCATTTGGATGAGGCGTTTTTATCGTATTTAAAATGCTCTGGTTGCGCATTCGCAGTGTGCTTTAAATAGTGGATAACGTGCACTTGTAGCTATAACTAAATCTGTAAAATGCATTATGTGAACTTAATAGGCATTCCCTTGGATGAATGTTGAAAAAAGTGAAATAGAAATGAAATCTCCTTCAATCATCCCACTAAAATCCACCTCGTCTGAATTACTGAAGGTGAGATATTATTATTGGCTTCTTGCGCACACAGTCTTGTGTAAGGAAAGTTTAAAGGCAGATTTACACCACACAACCTAAAAATGTCTCATGCAAGGTGCTTGTTGGCGAGTTGTCTGCTTGATTTACAAAGTACAACGCAAGTTGTAAGCAGGTTGCATGCCACAGTTTTAGGCAAAGGTTGTGTAGTGTAAATCGGCCTTAATCCCCGAGCCGACGGCGTGAAGCGCCGTGCGAGGGTACTAATTCCCCCCGGCTATTTACACCCGGGGAAACGAAAGCATTAGCGAAGTCTAAAGTTCATCAAATATCGCGGGCGTGGGTCACCAACCGTGGGTGGTCATTCTCACTGATCTCAAAAATATGGCGGACTGTCATGAATAGCGAACACTGTGATTGGTCCAATTTAAAGTTTGCATTATAACGACTGCATGACGACAGCGAAATAGCAAACATTTCTTTATTTGATGATTGATAAATTTCTTGCAAATATATTTCATTTTTGTAAGGTTTTGTAAATTTTAAGAAAGAAATGGCGAAAGAATCGGCTAAAAGAAGGGAGCCGACGTTAACGAAGGTAAGTTTGTTTTAAATATTGATTTTATAATTGCTTTAAACTATAAAACAAGACAGCATATCGGGCCCCATTTCAGTGTATCTTTAATATTGATTCCCTTTTTTATTATATTAAATTTTTTTAAATAAAAAAGAAAGCAAAGTTATTTGCATGCGAGAATTTGAAATCATTTTATTGGAAACTCAAAGTTTATCGATAAAGCCATTTAATTAAAGAATATAAAAGGCAGTTTAGTTTTATAAAGAACACTTTAAAACGTTTTGCGAAGCGTTTGTGGTTGAATTTCACCTTAAATTGAAGCTTATATTTATCATTTATAGACCTGGAGCGAGGGGGATTCGGCGAAATATTACCCGAAGTGATGATATTTCCCGAGGGGCTTTGCCCCGAGGGAAATATCATCACTGGGGGTAATATTTCGCCGAATCCCCCGAGCGGAAGGTCTATAAATGATATATTATACCGAAAATTAAAAGCCTCCAAGTTGAGAATTAAAAACTTGACACATACCTTCGTGAATACGACGTCTTATTTTCGGATTAACGCAAGTGTCGTCGCTTTTCTTTCGAATCACATATCGTTTGGAATATTAATGACAAAACCCCAGGTTTTAGGTTTGAAAAAGGCCCGGGTTTTAGGTTTAAAATTGAATTATTCATCACCATTAATACTATTTACGTTTTGTCGGCCATCTTGTTGTCATGCGTGTTCTCCCGCGTGGTGTACGCGAATAATGTTCCACCCCATGTTCCCCGGGGAACATGGGGTGGAACATTGTCAAAAGGAACGCAGGCTCGCTAATTGATGACGTAAGGCGTGATATCGCGATTAATTTCATGCTCACGTGGCACAAACTAAGCTTCCTGATTGGACAATTTGAATATGAGGTATAATATTACGTATAATATCATACTTAATATATATATGTTGGGAAATTGATAATTTTGTAATTAAAAGTGATATTTTTAAGCGATTGTTCATTTGTAAGAATATTCTTAAGAAATTATCGTGTTACCATGACAACTACTTTAGATACTTCATGTTCGGAAAATACAATGGTTTTGTCAGCAAGGCGAGGGTTTCTGCATGCATGTATTTTCTAGTAGATAAAATAATCCAGGAAGTAGCTCCCTTTGTATAGGCATCTCATGGAAGAGATACCTATGAAAGAGGCTAACTTGGAATATACATGTCCAGAGCGCAGAAAAATTTTACAGAGATTTCATTCAGCTTAATACATGCATGCATATCCGATTACAAACGTCAATGTAACTTTTAACAGGCTTACATAGATATGCGAATAGCTAGCGATTCCAATGCGAAAACCGACATACATATAGACATACCTATCAGGCGACTCAATGCGAATCATTGCGAAGAACGAAGACATCCGAATAACAAATCAATGAATAGTTTAATTAACGCAAGCGAACTGATTTAGCTCTCTCAAACCCGAGAACGGAATTCCTAAAAAAAACACACGATTAATCCAGACTTTCAAAGAAATATGCAGACGAATCACAACATCGTTCTGTCAAGCTGATGTTAAGTTGACAATTAATGACTAAATAAATTTGTGGTGATTGGTATTGAACCTATAGGAACACAGTGAGGTTAACTCGAGGATGGGGCATTCCCAATTGCATGAATGGTAATCAAATCAAATTTGAATTTTATGCAGATGCAGCTATTTGTGGAAGAATCTGAAAGCAAAACGTCGCGAAATGTGGCTTATGGTACGGGTCCTCTATAGATCCGCATTCAATAACATTCGAAAGCAAAGCATGAACTCATCATTCTTAGTTTCTCCAAATGCAAAAATGCACCTCCTTACGTATAATAAGTTGTAAATAGTTCTAGTCGATTAAATTACTACCATTATCGTTGCTATTGATTGACATTCATCTGATCAAAACGCCCAGCCACCGGGAGCCCGATTATGTCCTATTTATAATCTTCATACAGTTATAGCAAAGCAGTCAGTGTGCAGTTATGTTAAAGCGACCATGTAGTGCAGAAAATACGCGATGCGAAAAAAAAACACGCGAGGGAAAAGCGAGGAGAGAGGAAAGGGTTAAAACTCTCGATCGTACGCGATTGTGACGTTGTTTTGAAGTACTATTCCCCTTGTCACTTCTTTGAATGTTCACAAACAAGTACTTGTATTCAAAGCCTCGATGAGGTAATGCTCACATGTTACGTCTATAATGTATTCCATTTATCCAAAATATTACTACAGTTGCAAATTTCAAAAATGTAACTATATATAGTAGAAGACTGTTATTCATGTTATTAATAAACTCGAACAGTCTGTACCAGCGCGTAGGTAGTGACAAACATCAGAAAGCTGTGGATTGACAGGGATTCAACTACCTTGAAAAATAAAGCAAAACTTCAACGTTTCGAGCGAAGGCCCTTCGTCGGGGAACTTAGTGGCGTGGATCGGGAAAATACATGAAAGCGCAATCATGTATTCCCATCCATTCCCACCAGCGTTTCCCTCGTGTGTTTTTTTTTTAATCGCGTGTTTCTACACTGACGTCGAGTGTTCCTGCACTGCCGAGTGCTTCTTTAGGCAGTTCATATTGGCATCATTTTTATTTGATATTTATTAAGATATATTAAATAGGACATAGCCGTGGTCCCTGTGGTCCAACCGCTTTCAAGACTCATTCCAGTTTGTCGAAGTAATGGAAATTAAGTTATAAACATTTGAAAACTTTATAGAAGGAATTGTCCTTTTTGCGCACAACAAATGCTTCTTCAGTTCATAACATCAAGATTTTGTTAAAAAGTAAAAAGTATTAAGAATGTGGCTGAAACATGTATTTGCTGAAAAAAGGACCAAAATTTCGCAAAATGCAGCATTGTAACTATAATTAATTTTAAGTATTTATGTTATTACAGTAAACATCCGTTCCAGATTGTTTCCCTACTCTGCATATATACAAGTTGGAATTTTGTCTCCATACATATTAAGTGGCTCTGTATAGCAAAATGTTGGTTATTTTCATCTGCCAGTGCAAACATAAATTACGTGAGATACGGCATAAATATCAACCAATAGTGGTGATTTTGGACATTGTCGTTGATGTATATACTAGCAATACACAATTTATATGAGATTTGACATGGGAAATGTCAAAATATAACGGGAGCATTTTTGGGACACCTTAGTTCACTTGTTAAAGAAAATCAAAATAACTATTTCGATACCCACTAATAATTAATTGTGTGAAAATCGGGAACAAAATGTAGAAATAGAGATTGCTGACGTATGATATTTTGCAAGTGTTAATTTGTTTTCACAAAGCAAACGAGCGAATGCAACGAGCCAGTGAGTCTCAGTCTTTTATTATGGTTAATAATCAGTATGGTAACGTAGGAACAGTAGAGGACATTCAGTGGTGCACGAGGGTGTATGGGGGTGGGGGGGAGATAAGGGTTACCGTCTTCTCTTGACTAACAATTACGTAATTATTTGTTTCCCCATATAGTATTACGTAATTTGACTAAAAATTCGTAAGGCTCTGCGAAGAAAGTGAGTGAGTCTTGTGAAAATAAATTAACAAGTGCGAAAATGCAATACAAAAGTACTTTCCGTAAACAATTTTGTTCAAATTATAGACACTCGGATATTATTATTTTTCTGCATGCAACAGCGATAGTCTTCATCAAGATATTTTAGAGTAACCCGGTTTAACTTCTCATCTTTAATATATTTGTCTTCAGAAAAATAGCTATACTTATAAGCTACTGTTTATGTTCAGCTTCGGCCGAAATATTAAATAAACCAAAAGGCGGGAAATGCCTGCCATGAGTGAATTTACTCGTAGGTCATCACATGTATTGTTTGATTGGACGAAACATATTTTCTCAGATGTGAGAAAACTTTTCGCTTTCCTGATTGGCTCATATGTAAGGTAATTTTTTGCCAGTTAGGACCACCAATAATCTACACAACGTGCGCTCTGAGACTTTTTAGTTATCCAATTATTTAGTTATACAATTTTTATGGATTATTATTTTACCTCGTCTTTGATATTAACTAATCGAGAGCGTAAAATGAACTCAATCATTCAATCATTTATTAATTATTTTTTTCACTATAATACAATTAATATACACTTAATCCGCGAATAGCAAATGCTAATCGAGGCGGATAGTGTAAAAAAATAATTTTATGAATTGGTAGAATATAGTCCAAAGATGAATACAAATCATATTTCCAGTACACATCATGCAAGTCTCTCAAGAAGCATGCCATGTACTAGAATATTGCATACCAATATTACTGAATATTGCAAAACTTATTTCATACATGGTATATTAATTATATAGCTATATACATAAACATGTGTGATTATATTTTTATGGATGCCAATTGATTGGTCATTAACTTAATTGTCCTAGGTGTATCAACATAATCATCCTCAACCTCCAATACAGTTAGAAGTGACTTTTTAATTATTTTATTAAAGGTCTTTCCCTAGATTACGTATCTCAGGCCAAATACTATTCCATATTTTTGCTCCACGTTTAGCAAAGGATAAATTTGTCTTATTCAATCGTGAATAGTGTATGTGAACATGAACTCACTAATATATGTTACATGCATGCATGATGCACGGTCTATACACGGTCTATATTATGCACTATTTAACAATTATTCGCCGAAGGCGAGATGATTATCGGTGAATAAAAACCGAGACGAAGTCGAGGTTTTTATTCACGATAATCACCGAGCCTGAGGTGAATAATTGTTTTAGTATAATTTCATAGGTGATTATTTGGAAAAAAATAAGAAAATACACATTTCTTCGTCATTTAATTGACAAAAGACACAAAAAGGCTTCGGCCGCTTTGAAAATCGCTTAGGTGATTATCGCGGAATAATCACCTCAACGGCAACCAATCAGCGTGGAGAATTTTCAATAATCACCTATGTAATTATACTAATACGTATTAACACTCTTCCTGCATGTCCAAATTTTGCCATCATATTTTATGGCATCACTATTTCTAATGAATAAAAAGCCTGTAAATACTGCATGTTTGGTTGCATTAGGAAATCAGTCTGGTAATTACAGAATGAATATATAAAGTGGTATCAAGCTAACAGTTTACAAGCTAAGTAATACTATGTATGCTATCTGTATCCCAGCCCTCGAGGTCACCTGAAAGATTGTCTTGAGCTTGTTCACCATTCAGATTAATATTCTCTCCACGATCACTAGAATTTTCCCCACGATCAGAAACGTTTGAAGTTTCAGGTGAGGAACTTCCTGGAATTTGTTCGTCTGGTTCACCCCCTGTAAGGTAATACACAATCATGTATGTGTAAATGTATTGAACTAAACTTTATAAATCACAACAGTAGTGAAGTTGTTCCGGTTATACGAACGAGTAAATGTTTTACTAAACGAAGCTGTGGTTACGCCAAACTCAGAGGAAGCCACAAAGTTTGGTTTTACTGTGGTTATGTAGAGGTATTTTGTAAAACTATATCTAATGAATAAAATTACTAAAAACCTGTAAATACTGCCTGTTTTGCTTGCATTGAACTATTGTAATTACGAGAGCTGTAATACAATTTTTTTGGTCGTTTTTGTTTCGTTTTTTGATATATGGACTATTCCTTTGCACTATTCACCTCCACTGCGGTGAATAATTGTTAAATAATTATCCTCATGTTTCGTGCACGTATTTAATTACTGTTTTTGGTTTTGATCAGAACTCCAATCACAATCTATTCCTAACCCTAACGTGCACGAAAGATGAGGTTATAACGATATAAGAACTTTTTACGGCTCTCGCCCCCCACTCGCAGCACGCCTGTTGGTATATAACCTGATAAAGAAATATGGTAATTAGGAAATGAATATATAAAGTGGTATCAAGCTAACAGTCTACCCAGCCCTTGAGGTCACCTGAGAGATTGTCTTGAGATTGTTCACCATTCAGAAGATTAGTATTCTCCCCACGATCACTAGAATTTTCCCCAAGATAAGGAACATTTGAAGTTTCTTGAATCACTATTATGTCATTTTTTCTTAAACTTGGAAATTGGATTTTCATTTCCCTTTGCTTATTTGGCGAAGAACTTCCCGGAATTTGTTCGTCAGGCCCATCCCCTGTAAGATAATACACAATCATGTATATGTATTTGACCAAACTTTACAAATCACAACAGTAGTGAAGTTGACTTATTTATGGACGTTTATTAAGCATGTAGAGTAAAGTCAGCGTCAAATGAATCATATTTACCTTGTAATTGTTTTACCATCCTCAGTATTGCTGTTAAGGTATAATAGTCCTCTGTCTGATGCTCTTTTATCTTGCCGATATCATCTTTAAGTCTATCAAAATCTGAGATTTTATTCTTTCCGCAAACTTTTGCAAATCTATCATCAAGAACTTGCTTTAATGTCGTCAAGTTGGTGGTCAGTTCTTGTGAGCTTGTGATACTTTCTGGGGCAGCAACATCGACAACACTATCCATGATTTCTGGACTGCAGTTCATTTTTATGTATTCCCGATAGTTTACTTTCTTCTCTTTAGTTAAAGTTCGTTCGGCTTCAATCACTCGGATGGCTCTCTGCATGATTGCGTTCGCTTGGGCATTGCCATGTACTCGTGCGAAAGTCTCAGATAATAACGCAATAAGTAAATTGAGTGTGACGATTGTCATTGCTGTGACATACATAACTGTCAAGATACGAGCCATAACAGGTTCTGCTGCAACCAATCCTTCCAAATTAAAATCATCACCAACGGCCATTCTGAAGACAGAGTATAATAAACTGGCAGCTTTATCATAATGCAATACAGGTTTGAGTGATGGGCCGCCAAAAATGATCCAGAATGATGCAGAAAATGGAATGAAAATTAGAAAGAACAAGAATGCCCAGTTGATAAAATCACCACTAGTTTGACCAAGGATTATGACAAGGGTACCGATACCTGGAAATGATCTCAAATCTTTAAGCAAACGAAGAGACACAACAAGATTGGCAATACTAAGAATCCTAGTATATGCAAATCTTATGTCATCATTTGCATCAATTTTGTAGTAAGCAATATGCATAGCCATTGTAGCAATCATAACAATCAAAGCGATCCAATCGTAGTAAAACCATGCATCCTCTGCACTGAATATTTTTAGTTTATTAATTATTTTGATTTCGTTCTGTATTACTCTTGCCTCCTGAGGCCATCGTGGATGGCAGTATGTTAGATCTTCTCGAAGTTTGTCAGTCTGCCATTTGATCCAGTGGGTTTTTGCTCTAATGGTCTTCAAGGTTGCTGAGAAAAAAATATAAAATTTATTTATTGAAACACAACGAGTTATTTTGTCATAGCTTGAAACATCCAAAACGAGGTTGACAGTATACGTAATATACTATAGTGATTAAAAGACCTTCAATAGACCTTTCCCAGGATACGTGTGGCCGCGCGTGAAAGCGAGGCTCTGGTAAGTACATGGCGCCAATTTTCAATATGGCGGAAGCAAGGTCGGAGCTTTCAGGGCGCTGTAAAACACGGGCGGTGAAACGGCTATGGCGCCCCTGATCTATGTGTGATGCAGGTCCCCCCGCATATTTTCATTTTTATTCGATGCCTGGTTCGATCAGGCATGTTTGTTTTGACTTCCTTTTAAAATTACTACGTAAAAAAGTGCAATTCGAGCATGAATACACAATGGATTTGGGATCTGTGCTATTTAATACTATAGACAAAATCTTTTTTCCGGATTCTTAATCACGGCTGATTATACAGGGACCGTTGTAGTGTAGATAGAAGTCTGGGATCTCACTCACGAGGATCGATTGTTTTTGCAAAACAACTTCGTTCGTGTGTTTGTTTATTTATAAGATGAAAAAAGACGAAGATAAAGCTTTTTAAACGGCTGTTGTCGTAAAACCTGCAACTGGAATGTGTGTTTGGAAATCAGGTATGTTCAATCACACGTATTTTTGTCGAGTTCGACCAGATGAAGCGCCATGTAAATTGATAAAAACAGCAAGTTCTTTTTTTCAAGCGATAGTTTGTTGTCGCAGTGTTACAAGCGCGGAAAAGTTTTAACTTTTAAATATTTCATGCACAATATATGAAAACTAGCTTCATTTTGATGTTTTTGTATAACTCAAGTACCTAATTTTCTGAAAATCACCAAATGATAATGGGCTTTTTTAATTTTTAGACATTTTTTTGCCCTTATTTTTGACATGTGCATGCCGAAATCTACACATGGAATACAAGCAAGCGATAGTTTGTTGTCGCAGTTTTACAAGCGCGGAAAATTTTTAACTTTTAATATTTCATGCACAATATATGAAAACTAGTTTTATTTTGATGTTTTTGTATAATTTAAGTACCTAGTTTCCTGAAAATCACCAAATGAAGATGGGCTTTTTTAATTTTTAAACATTTTTTTGCCCTTATTTTTGACATGTGCATGCCGAAATCTACACATGGAATACAAGCAAGCGATAGTTTGTTGTCGCAGTTTTACAAGCGCGGAAAATTTTTAACTTTTAATATTTCATGCACAATATATGAAAACTAGTTTTATTTTGATGTTTTTGGATAATTCAAGTACCTAATTTTCTGAAAATCACCAAATGATAATGGGCTTTTTTAATTTTTAAACATTTTTTTGCCCTTATTTTTGACATGTGCATGCCGAAATCTACACATGGAATACAAGCAAGCGATAGTTTGTTGTCGCAGTTTTACAAGCGCGGAAAATGTTTAACTTTTAATATTTCATGCACAATATATGAAAACTAGTTTTATTTTGATGCTTTTGTATAATTTAAGTACCTAGTTTCCTGAAAATCACCAAATGAAGATGGGCTTTTTTAATTTTTAAACATTTTTTTTTCCTTTATTTTTGACATGTACATGCCGAAATCCTCGCCGAAATCTACACATGCATGGAATACAAGCAATTTGTTGTCGCAGTTTTACAAGCGCGGAAAATTTTTAAATTTTAAATATTTCATGCACAATATGTGAAAACTAGTTTTATTTTGATGTTTTTGTATAATTCAAGTACCTAATTTTCTGAAAATGACTCAATGATAATGGGCTTTTTTGTTTAAACATACTTTTTTCCAGCTTGTTTCATAGGGTGTCAGATTTCAAAAACACGAAGTCGAATGCAAAGCAATACCATGTGTAGATTTCGGCATGTGCATGTCAAAAATAAGGGCAAAAAAATGTTTAAAAATTATAAAAGCCCATTATCATTTGGTGATTTTCAGAAAATTAGGTACTTAAATTATCCAAAAACATCAAAATGAAGCTAGTTTTCATATATTGTGCATGAAGTATTTAAAAGTTAAAAATTTTCCGCGCTTGTAAAACTGCGACAACAAACTATCGCTTGCTTGTATTCCATGCATGTGTATATTTCGGCATGTACATGTCAAAAATAAAGGAAAAAAAATTTTAAAAATGAAAAAGCCCATTATCATTTGATGATTTTCAGAAAATTAGGTACTTAAATTATACAAAAACATCAAAATGAAACTAGTTTTCATATATTGTGCATGAAATATTTAAAGGTCAAAAATTTTCCGCGCCTGTAAAACTGCGACATCGCTGTGAACAATATGCAATTTGGAGTCTTTTGGCGGACATTTCAGTTGCATATTGTAAGTTCGAAAAGAGAAATAAAACAACCTTTAACATAGTAAAAACGGAATTTTCTGCTTGTTCCTTATCATTGAATATTTTCCCTAACTTTTATATTGCATTTGAATGCCTGAATATGTTAATGAAAATGTTTCCCGCAATGTTTTCTAAATTGACAATTGTTTTCTAACTTTATCAAAACAAGATCACAAGTTGTGTCATTGTAAATTACGCAAGTGACCTGGTCATAAATCTTTGAATTAAAAAAAAAGCCCACAAAAGCCCATTTTCTAACCTTTTCAGGTCGAAAGTATAACTAATTATAGATAATTTAAAGGGTTGAAGTTAACTTTTTTTCCACTCGGTCTGGCTAAAAAACTCGACTACAATTTGTCATTGCCTGAAAAATGTAAATATATTTTATGATAAAATCGCTATGCCTTCAAATAATTTCACATTTTAAAAATGCTTTTCCAACTCCAGCGATGTAATTTGCAATACTAATTAATTGCCAGAGTCTCTATTTTATAACAAGTTAATTTTTTTCCATTTTAAGGATAGATTTACCTTAACAAATTGTACTTTTTGATTGCCCTTTAAATATTTTTGTTTCTTGTTTTTGCTTCGCTTCATCTTTAAAAATCCCGCTTGATCCGCGCATTTCGCACGCTCGCGCCAGTCTCCCGTGCATCACACATGGATCAGGCAAATATTAGCGCGTTTCACCGCCCGTGTTTTACTACGCCCTGGAGCTTTTTAGTACTCCGCCGTCAAAACAAACAACGATTATTAAGAATGAAGCAGTTCCAAGGGGAGTTATTTATTGCTGTGTTCCGCTCTGTAAAAGCTACAGTGGAAAGGTAGTCGATGGAAAAAAGGTTACTCTACACAGAATTCCCTTAGACGAAAAATATAAACCGAGCAGCTGGATACAACAACTTCGCAATGTACGAAATGATTTTACTGCCAAAGCTGGAACACGAGTGTGCAGCTTGCACTTTGTGGGCAAGAGTGGGCCCAAACCATGGTGTCCAATTCCAACATTATTCCCCTCGAAGCCAGCACCTGAACCTTGTGAAAACACAGTAGTACGAAGACGACTAAATTTTGATTCAGGTGTTCAATACGGCGAACCAGAAAATATTGAATTAAACGCCTTAGACTTTGAGCATTGTTTTCACGATTACTTGCCAAAAGAGGCATTTAAGCCTGAATCTGGAGATCTTTTGCGAGACACGACGAGAGACACAGGTTAGTGACATATTTTAATAGTGTAGTTTGCCATACGGTAAACATTATCTGCATTTTTTGTAAACATTGTCTACATTTTTTACATTGTCTACATGGGCCATTCCATTTAATATCCACATACACCCCTATGGACGAGAATTTCTGAGGGGGTTCAAAAAACCCATTTCTGAGGGGTTATGCCCATCGGCATCCTTTGATCTTAGCGTTTTTTCTGAGGGGTAAAGGCAAAAATTTGTAAATTTCTGAGGGGGTGAGAGTGTTGGCACTTTGATCTTTTTTTCTTAGGGGTTCAATCTTTACTTATCTCGTCCATATGGGGGGGGTGAAATTTAAATGGATGGCCCCATTTTAGACTACTACTTTTTGCAGACTACGGGAATATTAGTATTATAAATAGTATTATATTAGTTGTTCTTTTGATATGCTAAAAATTCCTAATGCTTCCTACATGTATATTCATATTGTAATAGTTTTTTC